AGGATGGCAGCGTAGACGCTCTCATAGCTTGCTTCATTGGAACGCCTGGTGGAAGAGAGGCCTCAGCAGGCCTCTTCCATCCTCCTCACACGGGGCATCCAGAACAAAGAAGTGCGAGTGAGGGAGGAAGCAAGTGCCCCCCCAGCGCTGCTCCAGGTGACAGTGGGGCATGTTTGGATGGGAACATGGCCGTGTGCCAGCTTGTGGCTGCAGGGGTGGGAAAGGAGAGAAGTGCAGGCAACACCATCCTAGAAAGTGTCACAAGAAACACTGCATGTGCCCTGCCCTGTCCCCAAAGAGCCCTAGAGGCAATGGTGCTAGCTAAGGTGAAGGGAGTGCCCCTTTTCGCCCCGGCTTTTCGCAGCCTTCAAAGCCAGAGGTTAGTCTTTGCTGGGCAAACATTACCCAGAGTGACTGGCAACAATAAAGCCATCAGAATACTGACCTGACGTAGACAATGAAGAGGATCGCCATTGGTGGGGAGGGTAGGGGATGTGAGCAAGCCTCAGGCTATGGCGGTGGTGGGCAACCTACAGCCCATCAGGGTAATCTGATTGTGGGCTGTGAGATGTTTTGCTGACACTGGCCATCTGCAGGCACCGCCCCCTTTGCTCCCATTGGCTGCAGGTCACGTTGCCAGAGCCCTGTGTGAGACAGGGATGTGACCTCGGGTGGCGGGGCAGGGGCAAAGGTCTCTGGGTTGCATGTGTAAACAGTTGGTAACCTATTGGGCAGGCACGTGGAAGCCCTGGCCACACCGGAAAAGTATGCGTAGCTGGCAGCTCACAGGGCACCAGCCGGGGCAGGACCGTCCAAAAGTCAGGCGGATCGTGTTTGGGTGGGCCTTGCTTGCGTGTGCATGGGGTCCATTGACTGCGTGTGTCCAACATGGGGAGAAAAGAGGAATCTCAGTAGTTCTTCCTCCTCCAGCATCGGAAAAGTTGTATGCGTATTTGTTTGGCATTATGAGGCACTTCCTAGCAGAATAGGAGAGTCTGCACTTTGTTCGAATTGTGAGGTAGACATGGAGAAATGGGCCAGCTGGGATCCCATTCATAGAGGCATGTTCCCATGGATGTGGGCTTACCGAGAAGGAACAGAGCCCATGAATCTTCTGCTGTGTGGCTCTAGCAGCCATTGCTGTGAAACAGGAGCTGCGAGGACTACAGCGGAAGCCTTCATATCTGTAGAAGAAACTCCAAGAGATTGATTGTTCTGCTGCACAGCCTGTTTGGGACTGGACGAACCCTTTGACTTCCAGTGGGCAGAAGCCCCCGGAATTGTACTCATGTCTAGTGTCTGTATGGGTGTACGATTTAGAGCCAAGGGCCGGATCCAGAGCCCGGTGAAGTGAATGGAAAGATTTCCAGTCACATCAGTGGGCTGTGGCTCACATCTTTACACACTAATTTAGAAAAAGCATGTAGGCATGAGCTTAAAGGCTTTGCTGAAAAGGAATGTATTGCTGCATCTGAACCGAGCACAGTAAAGTTAATAAACACTGCAGAAGCTGTAGTATTGGCACACAGTACTAGAAGAACGAGATTTTAAAATCCCAAGAATCGAGTATAAAGATACATGTTGTCCTCAATATTTACATAATATTATACATTCCTGCATAAAATGGGTGTATTTAAAATCCTTGCTCCATCATTCGAAAGGTGTGTGAAGGACTTAGGTGCTCTTTCCACTGTATTACATCAGACTGGTCTCTTTTTACTGTGCATTGAAATCATTACAGCTTTTGACAGTTTGCAATTCAGTCTGTTTTTTAAATAAAACAAGGGAACACGACTGTATAATAGAGTCATCTTAGACTGCAAACATCTACGTCTGACCTAAATATCAGGGTTTAAAGCTCTGCTTCATTACCATGAAAAGGCCCATTATAAATCCCTACTTCTGGAGGTTTATAATTCAGCAATAAAATTTTGCTTTGGGCCAAAGCTCAGCATGCAAGGTCCCTGCCCAGGAAGAACTGTGATTCCCCTCCCCTTTAGTTTGTGCATAAAAATATATACCTACACAATCTATGTAGTAGATATTTATAATCCCCTTTTGCTATTTAAAAATACTAGAATCATAGAATCATAGGACTGGAAGGAACCTCGAGAGGTCATCGAGTCCAGCCCCCCGCCCTCAAGGCGGGACCAAGCTCCGTCTACACCATCCCTGACAGATGTCTATCTAACCTGTTCTTAAATATCTCCAGAGAGGGAGATTCCACCGCCTCCCTTGGCAATTTATTCCAGTATTTGACCACCCTGACAGTTAGGAATTTTTTCCTAATGTCCAATCTAAACCTCCCCTGCTGCACTTTAAGCTCCTTGTCCTATCCTCAGAAACCAAGAGGAACAAATTTTCTCCTTCCTCCTTGTGACACCCTTTTAGATATTTGAAAACCGCTATCATGTCCCCCCTTAATCTTCTTTTTTCCAAACTAAACAAGCCCAGTTCATGAAGCCTGGCTTCATAGGTCATGTTCTCTAGACCTTTAATCATTCTTGTTGCTCTTCTCTGTACCCTTTCCAATTTCTCCACATCTTTCTTGAAATGTGGCGCCCAGAACTGGACACAGTACTCCAGCTGAGGCCTAACTAGTGCAGAGTAGAGCGGCAGAATGACTTCACGAGTTTTGCTTACAACACATCTGTTGATACTAAATGGGTGAGTTATTAACGTTTCAATACTGGTCACTCTGAATGGCCAGAATGGGTGAATTATTAACGGTTCAATACTGGTCACTCTGAATGGCCAGTAATTTCATTAAAAGGATCTGGATTATCACTGCTCCATACGACACAGTCCTGCGACACGCAAGCTTTTCACAGGTCTGCTGGAAGGCTCCAGAAGAGATCGTTCTCTTAAGAATGCTTCTCAGATCTGGACTAAGGTCTGAATCTGGAAAGTTGGCCGGGGTATGCTAGGCGGGATGTTACAAGCCAGTGCTGGTAGAAGCTACATGTGAGTGCAAAGTTAAGAGCTATGTGGTGTCTGCTGTACTGATTGATCCTTTACTCACGATTGTACAGAGAGAGTAAGAAGAAGGAATGGGCATGTCTGAGGAAAAGTGAGCTCACAGGCAATCGTCAGCATGCACATAAGGGGATAAACTCTTAGCACTCAATCCTGCACACACTGAAGACGGAAAACCATCCGGTGGGGAGAAAGTACCACACTGTAGGTAGAGTTGGTCAAAATTTTCCCAACAGAGCACTTTCTGATCTGAAAAAGCACATTCAATTAAACTGATACAGTTGCTGCTACATTTGATTCTGGTGAAGGAAATGATGCATTTTGACCTTATTCAAGCATTCTGTGTTAACTTTATTTTTTTACTTCAAAACAATATTTAAATCTAATTTGAGCTATCATGAAAAAAATTGGGGGAAACATAATGCTTCAGTTGACCCAAAACAACATTTTTCCAAACTTTTAATTTTGTGGGAAATTGTGTGTGTGTGTTTTGGGTTTGGTGTTTGGGGTGGGGGGGGGGGGGGGGGGAAAGGGGAGGGAAGGAAGATTTCCCATTAAAAAAAATAGCCAGAGTTTGGAAAGCTCTCGTTTTATGGGGTTGCTCTCTGGAAATATGATGTATAGCACCCTGGATAGCTGTGTTTGCAGAATTAGGATCCAAAGTCTTTTGCAATCAGCCTACTAAGTAGGACTGACTTGGCAGCCAAACATTAGTACCCTCATCAATACAGACTTGGGTTCCCTTCTGCTCCATCTCATCTCCTTTTATCTTAACTTAATTTAGATATGCAGTACTCTGCAAACATGCTGTCCCTCTCATCTTCGACTATTCATGTGGATTCAGTAGATCTGACTGATGATTAACTAAGCCATTGAAAACTGAAATGAACCAGCACAGAGAGAAAATGGCAGCCAGCAAGGTCTCTTCCCAGAGGGACAGTCCTTGTAATTCAAAATAAGTTCACATAAGTAGAAAAGTAAACAGAAAGGCCAGTCTAAGGCCTCGTTTTAGTTCTGTGATCCTGAACATGGAGCCCAATTTCCATCTGCCATCTCTGTCTTCCAAACAGCCGTCTTCAGAGCCTCTGAGCAGGAGGCGTGCTAGGCCGCAGTTTACCTCTTTCTTGCCTTGAACAAGGAATGCTCTTGCAGCTGTTTCATACAGACAGCCAGTCAATTCCCAGTTGGTATTAAGGATGTTAAGTGGCAGGCAGTTAGGTAATCGTGTAGTTGATACAATTTGTATCAACTACACAATTAGTCGATAAGGGAAGGCGCTACCCTCGCCGTGGCTCTGCAGTTTAAATGTAGTAAGAGCCGGGAGCGCAGGCAGCCCGGCTCCTACAACATTTAAACTGCAGAGGTAGCTCCTGGACCCAGTGTGAGCTGGGAGTGAGACGGGCTTGCTCAGTCCCAGCTCATGCTGGGCCCAGCAACCCCTGTCCCCGGGGGGTTTTAGCAGGGAGCTGGGACCCTCTCCCCGCAGACAGGGACTGCTGTAGAGCAGCCTCTGTTCATGGCCATCCTAGGCTGCTGCAAACAGAGGCTGCTCCAGCAGCAGCCCCTGTGCGCAGGGCGGCAGGGAGTCCCAGTGGGGAGCTCAGACACTCCCATGGACAGGAGCTGCTGTGGCAAAGCAGCTCCTGTTTGTGGCAGGTCCCAACTGGGATCCCCTGCAGACAAGGGCTGCTGCCAGAGCAGCCTCCCCTGCCTCCCCCCATGCTGCTGCCTCTGATAGACCGGCTTTTAAGCTGGCTTCCCCCGCCCCCCAGCTCCTGCTCCTGCTCCTGCTCCCCCATCCTTGCTGCCTCTGATCTAGGCTTATTGGGTAGTTAACTTATCAACTACTCTTCTACATCCCTAGTTGGTATAAGTCAGCACAGAGCCATGGAAGTCATGGGGTGACATTAATTTGCATCCTAATTTTTCATTTTCCATTTTTTATTAACCTTAGTCATCTACCCTAAACAATGTTCAATATGTTATTTGCTATGGAGATACAGGTAGTTTCTCTTTCATATCAGGACAAATTTGAAAATATTCTTCTACCTGCTTAGGATGGCATACATTTTGAAGACACTCAACAGCTGGTTCTGGTGGGAGAGCTTGTGGATGCCTGCCAATTGCACATGGGCAGATCTTGAAGACCGTGATGGCCTTGTCTTTCCAAAGCCATATCAATTATATGCCACAATACCATTTGCTTTTGTGATGCTGATGGCCCGATTCTTGATAGAAAGGTAAGAAATGTGCATGACATTTTACTTTGCTCCCTTCCCATTGCTCCAAGGATATTAGCAAACTAAAATGTGTTTAGATCTGTATGCAAATTATTTCAGAAAGATGGTTTAGCCAATAGTCACATTAGAAAGGTATATTACAGATAACACAGGAGATCAGAAAGGAAGAATAAATGGATAGGAGTTTTGCCATTATTGGAGTCATGTTGACAGTTTGAATCCTGCAGCCCAGTTACAGAAGTGGGAAGTGAATTTTCCCTAAGGTATGTTTAGAGACTAGAGTCTGTGAGTCTTAGAGGAGACCATAATTTCCTCCCCACAAGATGAAACCAACCCATAAAAAATTCTGATGCCCTTTACTTACCTCACATTGCCCTCCTGTTCTGGCTCCCCCTTCTTCTCCCTGAATCTTCAGATCAGGTGTCTAGGACTGAGATATCCCATGTGTGCAAACCATAGCAAACCTATAGGTGCTGGAGGGCTCACAAAGTTCCATGTGAGTATTTCATGCACTTCTAGTAAAGATAATTACCAAAAAAAGATCTGGCACTGAACGTAGAACTGTTGCTGCAGCTGAAATCTTACAGGACAGATTGTGATTGGTCCTGTGAGGCTGAGACGTTACTATGATTTTGATAACCAATTCAGGGGAAAATGGGGATATTTGGAGAGTTGTATGTTGGACAAGTTTAAGACAAAATCAGAGAAATTCACTTGTGTTCAAAATAAGAAAGAATTGGAACAATCTGTTTATAACAATTCAGAGTCTTATTCTCCTGAGCAAATGCCTGCCCAGTTGTGCCTTGATTCACTGCTATTTTGAAGCTGCTCATCTGCTCAGTTAGCCATCCAGCTGTCCAACAGTGCAGCTGATTTGAACAGGGACGAACCAGACCACTGTTCTGGTGCTAAGAACTCACTTTAAGCAGGACACCAGCAAGGGCGAGAGGGGCTTATTCCAAGCAGACCAACCTAAGTAGCTTAGCCATACTGGCAGCACATTCTGCAGCTGGGGGAGGTGGAACAGAAAGCAGCTGTTTCTGCCCTCCATTCCTGTGGGAGATGCTCTGTCATTGGTCAGTCAAATCACACCCACCACAGAAAACGTCAATTGGCGGATGGTGACCCGCCTAATAAACAAGGTGCCTTATTGACTTGAAGGGCCTAGGAGACTGTTTTGTAGAGGATGATCCCAGCTCTTTGTCACCACAATAGCTTGGGACCAGGTGAGAAGTGCTGTCCATGGCTGGTACAGCTGCACTGGGCACAGCCAGCCAGCCGCTGGGGGACAGACAAACTCTCTGAAATATATAGTAGATAGTTGTCCCTTTCTCCCACCCCTCCCCCCTGCTGCCCCAATGGGATTAGAGCTATCTTAGTCCCCATGTCTGGCTACTTATTGCTCCCCTGTGTTCATTCTACAGTATAACTATCCTTCCTACCAGACCCCTCCCTTTCCAATTTATGAGAAATAATCAACAACTGCAGTGGGCACAGCCAGCCAGCCGCTGGGGGACAGACAAACTCTCTGAAATATATAGTAGATAGTTGTCCCTTTCTCCCACCCCTCCCCCCTGCTGCCCCAATGGGATTAGAGCTATCTTAGTCCCCATGTCTGGCTACTTATTGCTCCCCTGTGTTCATTCTACAGTATAACTATCCTTCCTACCAGACCCCTCCCTTTCCAATTTATGAGAAATAATCACATTCCAGGCATATCCCATTGCCCTGTCTCAACCAAACCCTGACCTTGCTTTAAGTTATAAGGAGAAGCTGCATTCCACATTTGGTGATCCTAGCTCTTACCATTTAGGAGGAGTTCTTGGACAAACAGACTCACACATGGACAGACAGACAGGCACACAACATTCTGAAATATATAGTAATTTCATTACCATATTTAAATGAAAACCACCTATCAAGCTGTTTCACAAGCAGTAACATGCTGTTTTCTGCTGAATTAGGCTTTTGCTGTATGGATACTATTATCTTTTCTTAAGACAGCTCTGCTGAAGATGCACATAAATCTTCTACCTCTCTGATGGCAGATAAAAAAGATTTTGGGTTGAATTCCTTAGTATCCTCGTGGGTTAGGTGAATGCCATTAACCGTTGTGCCTTTTGAGAGATCTTTCCCATTGTGTCTTTTTTAGATATGTTGCTATACCTCTAGCAAAAGCTTTAGGTTTAAAGAACGTAACACGAGTGAAGCCTCAACCAAATGCTGTTCTAGAGAATTATTTCCGAAAATGCACAAAACTTCCATCCCAAGTAAGAATTTCAATTCTTTTAAGGTGCTTTGGGGGATGGAAAATCCCAACTCTTAATGTTTCAATCAGCTATCCACAGTGACTTCATGTGTCCAAGGGATGGGTTCCAACTGATCGGTGCATGATGTAATTCACTTGGATTTGTTTTACTACTCTGCTGGCAGGGTACACAGCATCCAAAATCTAAACTACAAAAACTAATAAAATAGTTTAATTTCTTGGCTTGTTATTGTAGGTCAGATTGTTAATGTTACTTCTGGTGAAGATCAGTAATCCATCACTGCACTTGGAGAAAAGCAGCAATGGACATCTGTTGGTTAAAAACAATATTATGCTATCCTTTAAGGGGGCAAAATTGAAACAATAGACTGCAAGCCTTCTGGTTGGCTCTTAGGTGTTTAGTCATAGGCTGCATGCAGGATAAAAACACCTTTGATAATCTGTGATTGGTTTTGAAACCCAAACAAGAGCAATTAAAATAAGATGGCAGCATTTTGCAAATGCAGTCTGTTGGTGTTCAAAAACACAGGGGGTGCATCTAGACTGGCAAGATTTTGTGCAAAAGCAGTTGCTTTTGCGCAAAAACTTGCCAGCTATCTACACTGGCTGCTTGAATTTGCGCAAGAGCACTGACTTTGTAATGTACTTGTGCAAGAGGGCCGGTGTAGACAGGCACCTTAATTTTCTGCGCAAGAAAGCCCGATGGCTAAAATGGGCATCAGAGCTTTCTTGCGCAAAAGCGCATCTAGATTGGCACAGATGCTTTTGCGCAAAAGCACTTTTTACGCAAAAGCATCCTTGCCAATCTAGATGCTCTTTTCCGTTAAAAGTATTTCTGCAAAATCATACCAGTCTAGATGAAGCCTAAACTTCTAAACAGCTCATGGCCAATGATTATCTACTTCCTAGGCCTTGGAGTGAGGAGTAAGGCTAGAACCACAACTGGTCTATTTCTGATTCTACCACTAGTTTACTTTCTCTTTACTCAGGTATGGCCAAAGATGGGCATGCTTATGTGATCACACTTAATTGACACATGCAAACTCTTCTGCCCTGGGCACATATCTTGACTTCTCTTCTTCATTTCCCCATCTGTACAAAAAAAGATGAATCCCATCTGTCATCATGGGAATGTGATTGATTAAAGGTAAAATTAATACAATGTGGGGTTAATTAAAGCTTAAAAAATTAAAACTGGGCATTTTATCTCCATCCAACAGATGAGAAAAGTGAGGTAGAGAAGGATTAAGATTTGCCCAGTGTCATACAGCAACTTTTTATTGTGAAAAGAATCCAGATCTACTTTGACTCCGAGGCCAGTGCCTTAACCACAAAAACATCCTTCCTCACTTTATACTGCATAACCAGTTCTCATTGGCTAAAGCCACTTTGTGGCTTCTAGAGTGTCAATGAGTAACTTACGTGGCACTGTACCAAATCCTCCCCACTCACATCTCATTCATAGCAGTAAATGCTTCAGTGATGAAAACCAAATGTTAACGGCCCAGATCCTCTGAGGCCAACAGAAAGACAATTGTTCTACTTCTAGGCCTATAAATCTCACATCTGCTTCATTTATATGAATGAGACCGAAGGAACTTGCATCATAAAACTGCACACTGTGTCCATGGTGAGGGGCAGATCATTGTGACCTTTATACAGAAACTAATTGACAGATAACATGTCAATGATGAATGTCCAAAAATTAGATCCAAAAGCTTTCAGGCAAACTGCAAATAGATCATATTAATTGTTTATTTTTAAATACATTGACTGGTCTTTAAAATGCCAAATCAGCAAAGCTAATAAACTGACGTAGATGTATTTTTTGGCTATTAACATTCTTCTCTCCTTTTGCAGTCTGAGATTCAAGGCCTGGCCAAAAAGTGTAACTGGACAGTTCATTTGGTGGAAAAGTGGTTTAGGAGACGACGAAATCTTGAGCTCCCAACGCTGCTTCGGAAATTCCAGGAAGCTTGGTAGGAAGAGAAAACTGCCTATTTTGATACTGGAGGCCTACATAGACTCATAGAATTGGAAGGGACCTTGAGAGGTCATCGAGTCCAGTTGCTTGCCCTCATGGCAGGACCAGTCACTGTCTAGATCATCCCTGACAGGTGTCTGTCTAACTTGCACTTAAATATTTCCAGTGATAGAGATTCCACACATCCCTAGGAAATTTATTCCAGTGTTTAACCACTCTGACGTTTAGGAAGTTTTTCCTAACGTCCAGCCTAAACCTCCCTTGCTGCAATTTAAGCCCATTGCTTCCTGTCCAATTTTCAAAGGAACTACTTGATTTTGGGTGGCCAAACTGAGTTCCCCTTAAAGTAGACGAACTTGCTGCAACTGCCCAGATATTTTGACCTGTAAGACGTGACAAGCAAAGCACTTCTAATCACTAGTCATTTTTGACAGTGTAGGCAGTACAGCTTTGGGGATCCCTTTAACACAAAGTATAACTTTGATAGGCCAAGTTTACACTAGGGGATAAGTTCGAATCAAGATATACAACTCCAGCTACGTTAATTGCTTAGCTGGAGTCAACGTACCTCAATTTGAACTTGGACACCGTCCACACAGTGGGTGGTCAATGGGAGAAATGCTCCTGATGACGCCCATTACTCCTCGGAAGGAGTAGGAGTACTGGTGCCGAATGGGGTGCCATCAGCATTCAATTTAGTTGGTCCTTACTAGACCCTGTAAATCAAATGCCAGAAAATTGATCTCCGGAGCATCAATCCATGGGTAAGTATAGACATGGCCTCAGATTGAGACGTTTTAAAAAAGAAAGGTAAGAATCATCCCCATTTTACATCTGGGGACATTGAGACATAGGAGAGTGAAGGAACGTAGCTAAGGTCCCATAGCAGAAAATTGATAAAGCACATAAAATCACCCCAGTCCTTTTCATTTGCGTGCTGCCAATGATGCCCAGATGGTTGGCATCACTCAGTTATTTTTGCTGCCATGGCAGTTAATGAAAGATGTATAAGCATTAGCATTACAACAAGTGCTAAGTAAAATCCTATTTCTGTCTGACATGTTCCACTAAATTCATTGGGCTTCCAAGCAGGATTTAGAGTGACCTTTTAATCTTAAAATTAATTATATGGTAGAATATTGCGTCTTCATTAGATTTCAGTAGCAATTTAGATTTTTTTTAAAATTCCCAACTCGGTAGGTCCTTTTTTCACGATGGATGGGATGAAAACTTGTATTCTGACTATGTTAAATTCTGGACTCCTCTCACTGAAGTTTAATTATCTTACCAATGACCATTTAATATACATATTTTACTTTACTTAGGTATGGCCAAAGATGGGCATGCTTATGTGATCACACCTAATTGGCACATGCAAACTCCTCTGCCCTGGGCATGTATCTTGACTTCTCTTTTTCATTTCCCCATCTGTACAAAAAAAGATGAATTCTATCTGCCAGCATGGGAATGTGATTGATTAAAGGTAAAATTAATATAATGTGGGGTTAATTAAAGCTTAAAAAATTAAAACTGGGCATTTTATCTCCATCCAACAGATGAGAAAAGTGAGGTAGAGAAGGATTAAGATTTGCCCAGTGTCGTACAGCAACTTTTTATTTTTGTGAAAAGAATCCAGATCTACTTTGACTCCAAGGCCGGTGCCTTAACCACAAAAACGTCCTTCCTCACCGCCAGGGTAGTTCCTAACTGTCAGGGTGGTCAAACACTGGAATGAATTGCCCAAGGAGGTTGTGGAATCCCCATCTCTGGAGATATTTAAGAGTAGGTTAGATAAATGTATATCAAGGATGGTCTAGACAGTATTTGGTCCTGCCATGGGGGCAGGAGACTGGACTCGATGACCTCTCGAGGTCCCTTCCAGTCCTAGTATTCTATGATTCTATATTTGTGTGTTTTCACATGCACTCAATGCTATTTAATATCAGTTCTCTTAATTAATAATTTTTTATTATTGAATCGTTACTGAAATGTTTAGCAAATAGTATGTAACATAACACAATGGTACAATAGTATGTACCATAACACAAAAGGGATTTTAAAAAGTACCTTTCTTATCAGTTATTTTAAGCTTTTAAGCAAATTGGTGTCTTCTGTTCTTCTGTCTCCAGAGTGGATTGATATTTTACTTCAGCAGATACTCTTCTTTCTTAAAGCAAGTTAGAATTCACCCTGGCATTTCACTGAAGTTTTCTGCTTTATTCTTCAGTGTGCTTAATATTTGTTTATAGGATTTAGCTACAGCACTCGCTGTCAATGGCAGCTTTCAGAGAATAGGAACAATTTTTCATTTGCAAAAAATGTTGATGGAAAGAGACATTTTTGTTAGTCCTTTTTTCCAGTGTGGCTGCTATTAGTGAGAGTATGACTAATGGATGCTCATGGGGAACAGGTTGTGAACATAAACTGAAATATGTTCACATCAATCAGACATTAATAAGTAATTGTGGGTGACAAAAATGTTCGTAAACAACAGAACCTGTGTGCACATAATTGCAAGTCAGACAAAGCATTTAAGGGTGAGATTTTCAAAAGGACAGACAGAATTGTCTACATTAGAAACTTTTACTGCCTTATCTATGCTAGTATAAGTGCCCAAAACTCCTTGGCTGCAGGTATACTAAGTAAAATGCTTATAGCATATACTTTATACTGGTTTGGGAACCAAAATAATGTATACCTCAATACAAGCACCTCTATGCCTATATAGCCCACATTCATATCAGGGCTGTTACTGGCATAAATATTTTAGCAAAAAGATTAGTTATGCTGGTAAAACTTGGCTAGCATAGACAAGTCTATAACATAAGAATGGATATACTGGGTCACAACAGTGGTCCATCTAGCCCAGTATCCTGTCTTCCAGCAGTGGCCAATGCCAGATGCTGCAGAGGGAGTGAACAGAACAGGTAATTATCAAGTGATCTCTCTCCTTTCCCAGCCTGACAAATAGAAGCTAGGGACACCATTCCTATGTATCTTGGCTAGTAGCCATTGATGGACCTAACCTCCATGAATGTATCTAGTTCTTTTTTGAACCCTGCTGAAGTCCTGGTCTTCACAACATCCCCTGGCAAGGAGTTCCACAGGTTGACTGTGAGCTGAGTGAAGAAAAATTTCCTTTTGTTTGTTTTAAACTTGCTGCCTATTAATTTCTTTTGGTGACCCCTAGTTCTTATATTATGGGAACAAGTAAATAATTTTTACTTACTCACTTTTTCCACACCAGTCATGATTTTATAGATCTCTGTCATATACCCCCTTAGTCTCCTCTTTTCTAAACTGAAAAGTCCCAGTCTTTTTAATCTCTCTTTACATAGTACCTGTTCCAAACCCCTAATCTTTTTTGTTGCCCTTTTCTGAACCTTGTTCAATGCCAATATATCTTTCTAAAGATTAGGCAACCACATCTGTATGCACCATTCAAGATGTGAGCGTACCATGGATTTATATAGAGGCAGTAAGATAGTCTATTTTATTCTCTATGCCTTTTTGAATAATTCCTAACACTCTGTTTGCTTTTTTGACTGCCACTGAACATTGAGTGGATTTTTTAAGAGAACTATCCACAATGACTCCAAGATCTCTCTCTTGAGTAGTTATAGCTAAATTAGTTCCCATCATTTTCTATGTATAGTTGGGATTATTTTTTCCAGTGTGCATTACAGATAGTCCCCAATTTATGAACGAGTTACATTCCAAGCATTTGGTCATAACTTGATGTGTTCATAAGTTGGGCCCCATTCATTTCAATGGGACCACGCTGCTCGAACGATAATCCGCACTTACGTAAATCAGGGCTGCGCTTAATGGGAGGTTGGTGCCATAAGTGCAGCTGGTCATATGTCGATGCATTTGTAAGTGTGGGACTACCTGTACTTTACATTTATCAATATTAAATTTCATTTGCCATTTTGTTGCCCAATGACTTAGGTTTATGAGGTCTTTTTGACACTCTTCGAAGTCTGATTTGGTCTTAACTATCTTGAGCAGTTTAATATCATCTGCATATTTTTCCATCTCACTGTTTACTCCTTTCTCCAGATAATTTATAAATAGATTGAATAGGATTGGTCCCGTTACGGAACCTTGGAGGGCACCACTTGTTAGCCCTCTCCAGTCTGAAAATGTACCATTTATTCCTACCCTTTGTTTCCTGTCTTTTAACCAGTTATCAGTCCATGAGAGGACTTTCCCTCTTATCCCATGACAACTTACTTTACTTAAGAGCCTCTGGTGAGGGACCTTGTCAAAGACTTTCTGGAAATCTAAGTTCACTATATCTACTGGATCCCCCTTGTCCACAAGTTTGTTGACCCTCTCATAGAACTCTAGTAGATTAGTAAGGCATGATTTCCCTTTACAGAAACCATGTTGACCTTCCCCCAACAATATGTTTATCTATGTGCGCTTTTAAAATATTGGCATCATATTAGCTGTCTTCTAGTCCTGAGGTACAGAAGCTGATTTAAAGGATAGGTTACAAACCACATTTAATAGTTCTGCAATTTCACATTTGAGTTCTTTCAGAACACTTGGGTGAATGCCATATGGTCCCGGTGACTTGTTACTGTTAAGTTTATCAATTTGTTGTAAAACCTCCTCTAATGACACCTGAATCTGGGACAATTCCTCAGATTTGTCACCTAAAAAGAATGGCTCAGGTTTGGGATCTCCCTAACATCCTCAGCCGTGAAGACTGAAGCAAAGAATTCATTTAGTTTCTCTGTAGTGACCTTATAGTCTTTGAGTGCTCCTTTGGCATCTTGATTGTCCAGTGCCCCCACTGATTGCTTAGCAGGCTTCCTGCTTCTGATACACTTAAAAACATGTTGCTATTACTTTTTTAGTTTTTGGCTAGCTGTTCTTCAAACTCCTTTTCGCCTTTTCTTATTATACTTTAATTTGACTGAGTATATACTCCTTTCTATTTTCCTCACAGGGATTTAACTTCCACTTTTTAAACAATACCTTTTT